TTCAATCGTGGCGCCATCGGCGAATCAACTCGAGCAATTTGCCGGCGCAGCGCGATGAGAGTGGGGGTGGGGGAGACAGCGGCCGCCGCAACACGAGTTGAGGCGTAACTGTTGCGAGAACGGGGGCAGTGGCTGAGGGGGATCAGCGATATCTCTTGTCTCCGTATCCTCTCCGAACGGGAGGTTTCTGGGTTGGAGTACCATTGATGGTGGATTGTCACACTAGATACATGGCTAGGTGGAATTCAGCGGGTGTCTTGAGAATTCTAGCGGCCGGCTGCCCTGGTCGGTAGATTTTTGTTGTTTCTCCAATTCATTATATGCGAATGTTTAAACAGTACTCTAACAAATTAGCCACGAAAACGCGGGATCTTTCTTCCCATTTCCTTGTCCTCTCCACTTACACATACTGCACAGTACCACAGATGTCGTAATGCCAGTAGCGAGTTTGGTGATGAACTCAGGTGGGTTGGTGCCCCGATGTTCTGAAGGAGAAAAATTCCTGCAAGTCTACGTGTAGGTCGGTGTCGAATCTCGAGCTCCTGGGAATGTGCTTAACAGCACTACTCACTGACGGTGGGTCGCCTCGAGGACGAGAGAGACAAAGTGGTGGTAGCTGTTTCATCCCTAAGAAGAAGTATACAATATTAATATTCGATCTTAATCTACCGAAATGGCTTATAATTATTTAATTGTTTAGGTTGGATACCATGCCACTGTTTTAGCGTTGTTGGCAAACAAAAACAAGTGATTGTTCTTCATTGAAAAGATGTATTTACGAACGGCTTTACGTGAAAAACCAAGACGTTTCGTGATACTAAACATAATTTAAGGAATTTGTAATATTTTAAGTATTAGTTGGCTGAAGTTAATTGAAGTTTTTCATGTTACATTTCGCATGCTATGTGATCAGCATATTTCTGTAGAGTTGAAAATATTTGATTGATGTGATTTTTTTAACATAAAAAAATCTAGAGAACAAAATCGTGCTATTTTGGAAATTTTCCAAAATAAAATTATAAATGTAGTTGAAAGCATAAATCAATTGATTACTAGAAGAAGTGAGGCTGTAACTATTAGATGAAGGTTAGCTGATTTTTAAATGGATTATTTGTGAAAATCTTTCTTCTGTGTATCAATAAAATACTTTCGAGTCATCACAAATTCCGAGAAGGTAACATCGTGTTGAAAGAGAAAGGGTAAACTCCGTGACGTCAGAGCTCCAAAATATAAACAAAGAACTAGCAATAAATAGCCATCCAGTCAACGCGCTTTACCTTCCAGCCGCTGTCGTTTAACCGCCCTTAACAATTCCCCCTGTCCCATCTCAGAACGATCTTCGTCCTTCGCATATCGCTTTTCACCATTCTTCTACGACTAAACGCCCTTTGCTTTGTTTCGTCTACCAGTTGTCGTCAATCGCCCTAGGCTCACTGCCCTTCGTTGCTACGAGGAGCGCTGCGTCGTCGTGACTCGTGTGTCAGGCCATGTAAGGGACAGATGTGTCTTATTGAATATTTCCCACGTTACGATTAATCGAATGTTCAAATCCCATTTCTAAACAAATTCGCCTTTTCATTATTCATTTGGCGGTGTAATGCAGATGATGGGGCAATGCATGATATCAGTAAGCTATGGGTGTAAAACACCTGAAATTTGGTACTTACGGAAAGTGCCACCATTAACATGAAAAATTAGAAGTACATGGTAAATAGAATACATATAATTAATTAGTTTACAATTAACATGATTGGCAAATGCTCTCTTATGAAAGAAACTTTGTAATTATACCGTGAGAACATTGGCATGAAGTGACTTGGCAGTTAAACAGCTCAAGTCGCTAGATGATCTGTTGTGAATGGTGCATAGATCAATTCGTGTTTCGTGTTACCTGATTTGAATAAAACGTGATGTCACCAAGAGCGGCCAGGTGAGCTGGATGACGTAGTATCGGACGTGGAGTTGACGCTAGATGGCGTTGAGGGCCCTAGCGGGATGCTGGCAACAGGCGGTTAACCTTGCAGCTGAGGCAAGAGCAAAATGGCGGTCTTGAATTAAGCTGACTGTCATCACGCATGGCATTGAAATAAATTACCAGACATATTTGCTGGCAAACACATTCACACACTGCACCATACACTGAATATGATAATTGAGCACCAAGCACAGTCACAAGTCAACGTAATTTTGTGGTTCGACTTATTGTCACATGGGATCACTATGACTGCGTACATCAGATTAACATATAAAGTAACTGAATCATGTTGGCGATTGTAGTCAATTGAAGTATTCAAAGGACACTACTGTACACCTTGAAATTGCACACGTGTTTTAGAACACAGTTTGCAGTACGTGTAGTTGTTGAACTTACCACGTATCTACAGTTACATGACGCCACATCGTAATAAACTATTGAATGATCACTGAGCTGATTGTACATGTGATGCGAATCGTAAATGACGAGCACTCTCTAGTATGTACGTTGAAGTATTTACCAGCAGCGTGACTTCAAGAAACAATAATGACGTGATTTGAGTGACACGAGTTGGAGCACATTCACTGGTGCTGACTGGCTATCAAATGTCAACGTCCAGCTCGCTGCTCGCAACTGACTCTTTGACCGTCAGGTAGCGAGAGGTTCGCATCGCGCCCCAACCACCAGACTGACCAGCAGTATTCGTTTATTTGAAAGAAACGTATTACAAATAGAAAACATGCATTTGATTTAAATAAAACGGTGATGTGTACCAAACGCGATTTATGAATACACGATGCGTTTGTAAGTATACAATGAGTACTGTGCTAAATATAATCTTAAAAATGTCTTAAAAATAAGCGTAGCTTGCACGAACCGTGCACATATGATTAACATGAGGATGGGAAGAACTAGGATCTGTATGCGATGGAATGGCGTGCACGTGAGCGAAACAAAGATGTTGAGAAGTATAGGAGGAAATGTTCATTGAGCCAGGATGTGACACAGAAAGCATTTTAGAATTCAAAGGAGTAATGCCAAACATACAGAAAATATGAATAATTTCTGGACCGTAATTCAGATGTTATTCTCTTTCCATAGACTACAAGTCGGTTCCCGGAATCTGAAAAGCGAATTGTGTCTACACATACTTAGCTCTGCGGCAACAAAGCGCAGAAATATATCTCAAGGCAAGAAGAAATTCGATGTCGTTATCAAGGCTTTGCAAACCGTCTGCTCCCGTCAGCACATTTGTTCCTTTGCTAATCCCTGACAAAGGCGAATCGCCTTGCGCGTGGTCCTAATTGGGCGCAGCGCGTCAGCAGGCTGCGTATTGTTCTAGAAGCTTCGCAAATTAACGGGCGTCGCCGAGCGGAAACATGGCGACGCAGCGTTGTCAAGCTACGGTTCATGCCCTGGATGTAGAGCACTTTTCCTCAAACGAGGAATAATTATTGGGGAAGGTAATTTGAAGGAGGCTTTTGCTGCATTCTCATTGTTACTTTATAAACAATTATTTTCTTATTTAGTATTGTCATCCATTTAAACATAATGTTTTTTTCAATAAATTTCATTTTTTCTATAAAACATATTAACAAAAGTGCGTGATAAAGTCTCTAAGGCCCACTATTTTTTTAAATTTCAAACAAGAAATCACCAAATTTTGTTGAGAATACAATTTTAAACATTTTAAATATATAGTTATGTTAGTATAAAATATAATTGCTGTGATTAGACAATATTAGTTTACAATATCCGCAAGTGGTAAAATTTCAAGATGTGTTGCACTTTTAATTATTTTTTTTTTCAAAAAACTCATTGATCATTAAATTCCATAGAAAAGTTGCGGTGGGAATGCAGAAAATTTAAGCTTGGTAAAATTACCGTTAATAAATTAAAAATTTACTGTTTCACAATCAATCCTTGGCCTTTCTCCAAAAATTTCCGCTAATTGCCATTAAATATGAACTCTAAAATGCAAGTAGCAAAGAAGATAATTAAAAAAATATTCCTCTACTTTTACTTTCTTTCCTGAGGTATCTGTAAACACGCCTTGATGGAAATATTATGAAATGAAAGAACGTGGGGTTGCGTTTCTCGTTCCAATTGCAAATTATTCTCCAAAGAGGAAAAAATGCTCTAAATCCTTGGGGCACGCCTGGGTTATTAGTGCGGGTCGCCAGCGCCGTCGCAGCGAGGGGCTCCGAAATTGAGACGTTGGGCGTTTAATTGCCGCAATTGCACTGCGCTTGGCCCTTTACGAGTTGCTGCCGGGAACGCTTGCCGGGGCGTCGCCCCCACCACTCCTCCGTCCACGCTTACTTCCTGCGACACGCGACGAACAACCACCCAAAGAACTTCAGACATTTTTACACCCGAGCCTTAGAAGAAAGGCTGGAAAAATTTCGCGTGGATTATTCAGTACCCTGAATAACACACCGAAAGTTTCCTGCACCCTTCTCCACGGCATTGTTTAGTTTTTATTTGCTGTTGTTTTTTCGTATAAAGTTATCGTGTTTTTATAGAAATTCATAAAAATAAATTAAGAGACTAATGTCTCCTAGTATTGTCTTATCATTTTTAAGACATTAAAAATTAATATTAAACCCTCTTTGTATTTATTATCATTGCATTTTGTATTTGATTTTAATTTTATTTATATTTGTAGACTGATGATGACGGCAGAGTCGTCGAAATATATCTATTAAAATGACGAATATTCCAAAATCTTATCTTGCATAATATTTTCAGGACGATGAAATAAAAATTTGTAGGAATCAGAAATTCTCGTTATAGTAAAGCAAATTTTAAGATGTTCAACATTTAAAAATATATCTTTCCCTTCGTGATGATATGTAACTGTAACGTTTCTTATGGTGAATTAAAGCATAAGTAATATTCTAACAAAGACGTTTAATTTGTTTTTTAATGATACACTAAAATATTTAATTTCTTTACAGGTAGGTTGCTCTATCCTTGTGTCTTTCACTTGGTTGTTTTCCTTATAGAAGACTCTATTCTCTTGATCATTTATTTACACTGTTCACTTCTTCAATTTATTTATTTAGGTGTGGGGTTCATTTACAATATCGCACAGTCCGATGCACCTACCACTGTCCGATGCACTGACCACAGTCCACTGCGCTGGCCATAATTCACTGCGCTGGCTACAGTTCACGACGCTAATCTCGGTCCTCTACACTGCTGTTCCCTGCAATGCACACTTTACAGCTCAGCTTCCACTTCAGACTTCAGACTGACTGCGGCCGCCAACAGCGGCGAATTTATTGCTGGCTGGCGCCCGTCCCGACCTATCCGGAACTTGCGTATACTTCTACGCGACTCGCGAATAAACCCCGGAACCTTCCAGTTTGGGGGCGCCGGTAGATGACGCAATCCCTCCAGGGAATCCCGGCAGATGATGCAATATTGGTTACAATAGTAGTTCTAAAATATATTTGGGTCGACAATACATTGTGCCAAAGTTCTTTGTGCTTTTCAGCTGGCTCTCGGCAGAGCCAGCGTTGCCGTGTTTATTGCCGTTGCCAGAAGCGCGTAGCTTTCATGATTCGAAAGCGAATATCAGCTTCCAGATCTATTCTTTGGATATTTTTCAGTTTTATTCCTATATTTTCTGAATATTTTTACTTAAACGCACGCTTATTTTTCACATCATGAGCGCGTGTCAGAAAAGTTTATCAGATAGGAGGCTCTATCCCTTTTATTTATTCACTCGGTGGCACCAAGGGTAGATGACGTGACCGGGAAATATTCTGCTATTGCCTATCACTAAGGGCCCACTCTCGCCGTCATCATGTGCCTCTCAAAGCTCTCAAGCACTAACAAGTTTGGTACAATGTAGAAGTGGATGATTTTCTTCCTTTAAAAATTGCAACGCTGAGAACACTGTTAAATGCACATCTGTTCCAAACAGCATTTAAATATAATTGTGAGCTCTTTTTAGTTGATGACGAGGGCTAGGTTGTTGAAATGTTTCTGCAACTGTATAAACGGCGTTGCTCACTAGTCGCTTTAGTGATTGCGCCTCGCTCGCTCCAAAGACCATCCGTGAGCGCGTACCGTCTGCTGGTGCAATGGAAATGATAGAATACCTACACGAGATGAAGATACAACAGTAAAATATATAATATTATTGTTTTCACTTTTTCACATATGAATATTTTACTAAAAATAATGATATAATAAATAAATGAACATGTATTTCCACTTCCACCTCTGTAATGAAATAATTAGAAGTGAATCTAATTGATTAATTTTTAGGAGTGAATTTATTTAGTACTTTTTTGAAAATTCTAATAAAAATGTTAGAACATCCAAATTACTAAATAATATTAATAATAATAATAATAATTACTATTATAATACAAATTGAAAAAAAATTTAAATATAAAAATGTATGTGTGTAAGTAGGAGTACCACAAAAACCCTTGAGCCATTTCTAGAGTGCTCCTAAATTTTTCCGTACTCATTCGAACAAGTGCGAAGAAATTTAAGGAGTCAAAAATGTTACTCCATAATGCTTTGCTGCAAACAATTCAACATACAATTCATCTGGGAGGAGCGATTTTTGCTGGGTTAGGCCGGACCGTGAGGAGAGGGCAAAGTGGAGCTTTGAATAGATTTTTGCTGTTTATAATAGCCCAAGCAGCGCCGGAAAATAATAACAATAATTCATAGGATTTATTAATCAACACCATTTAGAAGAATGATGATTAACCGAGGAGCATCAGAGAATATTATTTAAGAATTATTTTGCAATTCGTACGTGACATACGACGGCAGCATTATAGTGAACAGAACTTCGTTCTGCTCTCCTCCTCCCCCTCTTCCCACTTTCGGCTTCCGTGGCATCGCGGTTCGTTTCGCGCCCCGCCATCCACCCGTTCTCACCCCTCCCCTTCATTCTCTGTTCGGCCTTCCCACATCCGCTTCGGAATGAGCTGCCGACCGCGCGCCCAACTAACTTCGAGGATTTTAACGAAGACTTGTCACGGAACTCGTCGTAAACACATTTCGCATTCCATTGTGCCCGGGACTCGCTCTGTTTTATTGAGTTTAGACACAGGAACGTGAGATGTAAAATGAACCACACGAATGCACTCAGGAATAATCCTCAGAGACGATCCTGGTGCATTGGAGTTTCAGGAGCGTATAATATTGACTTTTAAAAAAATGATTGTTTTTTATGTTGATACATTTGGTGAATCTATACAAGAATACTTCAACTGTGTATCTTTTCTTGTAGATACACTTGTTGTTTTGAAAACTTTTAATATTTCCGACGTGTTGAAAACATTTAGAAAAAGAGAAAGGCTGACTAAATTACTAATTTAAGCTGCATATTTAATTTCATTAAATTAGTGTAAAAGATAAATAGTACTGTTATACATGGTAGGCTATCACTTTCATAAAGTGAGACAGGATATTGACAAATATAAGTTTCAGTTGTCTGTAGTATCTTCTAAAGCAAATAATGGTCAAAACCAACCGGTCTTCTGCCGTCACTTCTGGTAAACGACGAGAGACGAATCGTATCTCAGCGGGTTTTCTTGTGGTTTATGTTTCCCTTTCCTCTTATTACTCCATTTCTCCGTCATCATTCACCTCATTGTCTTCAACATCATCATTATTACCCTAGACTATTTACGTAAATCATGGACCCCAATCACCGTAGCGTATTTTAAGGGTCCATAAACGCCTGTAAGTACATTAATTCACTAATTAATTAAATACCAGCCTGAAGGTATGTTTACACATTGGTCTAAAAGCAGCAGCTTCTTTCGGAGGTCGGCAATATTCCGCCAGTCCGAATCTCGACCGACTTTGCTTCATCAACTGCACCACTCTCGCGATCGTAAATGCATTACAGCTCAAGGTAATGTGTAAACAGCGTATTGCATTTTTTTCTTATGGTCACAGATTGCAATCTTCACTTTTATTTCTCCGTTGATGAAGATTATTTTTTCTGTGAGCCGAACCTTTAGGTTTGATGAGCGATCAATGTAACTAAATTGATATGATGGTGATGAAAGGAGTAAATTAAGGACAAAGATACTGATGGTGATGATGCAATAGTGCAACTTCAGACAGTGAAATTGGTAGCAACTTAGGAAGCCTGCAGCAAGACATCATCAAGAAGTGCTGGTGTGCGATTATACGTAACTCTGAACAATCATCTCTGAATTGAAATAAAAGAATAAAAAAAGGGTTGATGTAATGGTTTAGTCATACGTTTGGTCCAGTTATCTAAATGATAAGGTTTTCAGAGATTGCTTATTAATCGATAAAAATTATCACTTATATCGTATCCCTAGGAAAACGTTAAATTGAATGAAAAGTAATATGTTATGTTGTTAAAGGCACTAGAATATAAAGAAATATAATTAATTGAAATAATTAGATTAGAAAATGTATGGTGTATACTTGTTCATATGTTACGGGTCTAGGAGTGCCTAGGAATCGGTAGACTTTCAGGGGAATAACAATTATTAACGCTTACAAAAACCTCCCAGACACAATCTCGCCAAAAAATCGTAAATCTTCCATCCCCGAGATTCCCCGTTCTCTCTGCCTACAGGTTGTGGTAGGGGGTGGCATGAAGTAAAGCTCTCGGTGCGGACTCACTGTTCCTTCTAGCTTGCAGCGACCCCGTGGTCAATAGGTTTTTCTGCTGGGACTCTGAGCGAGAAGTCCAAGGGTTTAAGTTCTGACTGCGGCAGGAATTTTGAGACCAGATATATGGATAGATAGATAGATAGATCGATAGAGGGATACATAGATACAGAGAAATATATAGATAGGTAGGTAGATAGATAGATAGATAGATCAAGGCTCTGATAGAGAATAACACCCCAGAGTACCTCACCAGTATGATAAAAAGCTACCTAAGCGACCGAAAGACAATTTATGAAGGTGAAGGAGAACCTATTGAATTCGAGATGACCTGTAGTGTCCCACAAGGTTTGAAACTTGGTCTTCTTTTATGGAATATTATGTACCACAGTTTACTAAGCATAAAACTCCCACAAAATATCTCAATCGTGGGCTTCGCGGATGATATAATAATAGTGGCAACGGAAGAATCATCGGCCCTACAATTCGAATCATCGTGTCCTACAACTTGAGAAGTGTGATGAGATGGCTGACGTTCAAAGGGCTGGAAGTGGCAGCCCATAAAACGGAAGCATTACTCATCACGGACAGACGATCAAACCAACCCAACATTCCGAATAGGCAAGGAAAAATACAATGTCGGAAGATCCTTCGCTACCTGGGACAGGAAATTGACAGGAAGCTAAGTTTTGGACCACACGTTAACGAGACGACGGAATAAGCACTAGGAATAGCAGCATCGCTTTGAAGATTGATGCCAAACATCAGTGGCCCCAGCGACAAGAAGATACGACTTGTGATGCACTCGAAAATGCTCTACGCAGCCTCAATCTAAGCAGAATCTCTTCAAAACAAGAATTTCGAGTAATAAATATGTTACTGGTCTGTATAGTTAAGAAGGAGTGCTATCAGCAAATAGGGGTTATTAGAGATTGTACTCCGAAGGTGGTCTGTTCTTTCTTCTGGCGAAACTGATCCTTCTACTTAGACTATATTCTATAAAGTGTAAAAAGATTATGTACTACTTCGCATTGATGAAGTAAGGTCAATCGGACTGGAGATACGCACAAGATACGAGATTAGCGCAATTATAAAAAGTCTAGAATTACGTGATTGACACTGCTGGCAGAATCAGCTGGGATAGGAGAGGGTAGTACATGCGATTGGATACTCTGGTCTCATCAAATATATACAAATTGAGATAAGCGCAATATATGGGCTCTAGTGACATAAGATTTTAACTCATGTGCATTTCGACGTAGGTATTAATGTTGATGTATTTGTAATGTGCTCAATACTCTTTAAAATCGTCTATTCAGAGATCAGAAAGGACACGATGTATGTTCGTTATATGCTGGTCATAGCTAGTCGAAGTCGAATCCAGACGCATGGATAATAAGGCTTTATATAGACGGGATGTGTCGGTATGTGAGGTCATGGAGATGAGATGAGAATGATGAGAATAGAGTGTAAGCTTGTCAACTAGATAAACGAGTGGTCACACTTATGATGTGTAACAAGGCGAAGTGGACAGCAACAGAGAAGTATATCACCGCCATTCTCAAGAAGAAGGAAGAAGACGAAAGAAACCAGTCACAGCTGAACCTGAATAGCAGCCGAAGTAATACAGCTGGCACCATCCTGAAGTAATGCATAATCGCGGTTCCAGGGTGGATAACGCCAGGAACAGAAAGGGTTTGTGGTTTTAGTGGGTAAAAATCTCACACTGTTGAGAAGTGCGGGCTTCTCTTCACCTTCTGAAGATTTCCACAGTTCCCTTCGTAAAAAAGGTAGATAGAGAGATAGGTAGGTAGGTAGATAGGTCGAGTTCAGCAGCTGTCTGGAAGGGAATTCTAGCTGCCGGTTGCTCAGATCGACAGTTTTCCGTTGATTCTACGATTAACTCTAGACGAATGCCGGATCAGTATCCTAACAAACGGGCCACGTACCGGGTGCGATTTTTTCTTCTTCTTTATATTATACTCCCTCTTTACTTGCATACACTCTTGCCTGCACTACACTATCAGACATGCCGAGAGACCAGTTGGGAGCTTAGAGCTTCTTCCGGGTGGATAGGTGTCCCGATGATGGGAGATACCTGTTTGTGGAAGAAATCCGCAGGCCGACGAAGACCGGCACCAGATCTTGTCAGCCTGCAAGCAAGATCACCACCTCCATCAGCAGCACCTCGTCCTCCTCCTCATGCCCTACACTTACAGGATAAAATACCTTACCCGTTGACGCGCCTGGAATCACTAATCAATCAAATCCTGTGTCCACGGCCTCTGGCCCTTCCCCCCTCTTTCACCTCACCAAGCCTCTATCCCCCCCCCCGTTGAGGGCGGGAGCAAAAATGTAGGTCAGCGTGCGTCTTGAAGCGGCGCGCGCCAACTGGGCAAAACTAATTAAAAGTGCCTGGCGCTCGCTTCACCCTTCCCGCGCCCGCCGCTCCTCCCCGCCGCAGACGGCGGTGGCCGAAAACGCCCTTTCACGGGCTAACGCAGAGTGGGAGCATGCCAACGGTAACAACCCAACGATGTAATTGAGTTGCGTCGATTCGTGTTGCGTGTGATACCACAGCTGGGAATATTCTCTTTAACCTACTTTGGGTTTTATTACCAAAAAAAGTAAACTACCAATGTACTTTCCGGAAAAAATAATAAATATAGTGATTGCATTATAAAAATAGTATAATATCGTACGTCATTTG